GCAGTCAGGAGGCTGAGGCAGGAGGATCATTGCCAGTTTGAGACCAGACTGGGCTACAAAGTGAGCTCAAGGCCAGCTTAAACAGCATAGTGAGGTCCTGTCTTAAAACACACACACACACACACACACACACACACACACGCACGCACACACACGCACGCACACACACACATGCAGGAGGGTAGAAAGGTTTCTTTTGTTTGACTCTTGCCCCCTCCTAGCATTGCAGATAATCAAATGGACACAGTGTACACTTCAGAGCAGTGCTTGCACTCTTAATGTATAATCTTAGGTTTATATATCTGTTTTTCATTTTTAATCAATTTCATTGTTTTTAAATTTTTAAAATTTTATTGGTACGCTTTAGATCTACATAACAATTCCAGTCATCATAGGGGGTTTATACCTGTACATGATAGCTGTATCTTGCTTCTTTTTACCCATCACCCTCCCCTCCCTTAAACTCCTCTTTCCCTCTTTATAAAAATTTTGTTTCCATGTTTTCCTTCTAGTCTCTCTTTCTTGTCCCTTCTTTCCCTTCCCCCTCCCTTTTTTTCTCTTTTAAGCAACTTCTTTCCATATCCTAATATCTAGTATATATTATGGCCATTATTTACTGTGCTGCTATAAAGATGGATGTGCAGGTTGGGGCGAAAGCTGAGCAGCATCAGTGCCTGCCTCGCAAGTGCAAGGACTTGGGTTCAATCCCCATTCAAAAAAAAAGGAAGAAAGAAAGAAAAGAAAAAAGGAAAAAAATAAACATGGATGTGCATGTCTCACTGTGGCATGATGCTTTTAATTTTTCAGGAAGATACCAAGAAGGGGAATAACTGGATTAAATAGAACCTCTACTTTTAGTTTTGTGAGGAATCTCCACACAGATTTCCGCAGTGGTTGTACCAGGCTACACTCCTACCAGCAGTGCAGAAATGTTCCTTTTCCCCTTCAGCCCCACTAGCATTTGGTTTTGGTTGATTTATTGATAATAGCTGTTCTTTCTGGAGTGAGATGGAATCTCAGCGTTGTTTTAATTTGCATTTCTCAGATGGTCAGTGATGTTGAACTTTTTTTCATATATTTATTTGCCGTTTCTACTTCTTCATCTGAGAAGAAGACTATTCTGAGACTCTTCATTTCAGATGCCATTTTTGATTGGGTCTTTAAATTTGAGAGGCATGATTTTTTGGAGTTCTTTATATATTCTAGATATTTGTCCCTTGTCTAAGGAACGGCTGGCAAACATTCTTTCCCTGAATTGTGGGCTGTTTCTTCACTCAGTTGGTAATTTGCTTTGCTGTGCAAAAATTGTTTTAGTGAGATGAGCTGGGCATGGTGGTTCATGCCCATGATCCCAGTGTCTGGGAGGCTGGGGCAGCCTGAACCACATAGCAAGACCCTACCTCAAAAAGTGACAGGAAAAAAAAAAAAAAGATGAGATCTCAGTTGTTGATTCTTTGTGATATTTCCTGTGCAGCTGGGGTTTTGTTCATAAAGTCTGCCTATACCAGTGTCTTCCAGAGTTCTACCTAGATGTCTTCCAGCAGAGTCAGTGTTTCCGTTTTGCTGTTTAGATCTTTCATTTCTGTTTTAGTTTAGTGCATGGTTGAATATATGGGTCGAGTTTTACTCTTTAGCATGTGGAAAGTAAGTTTCCAGCACCATCTATTAAGGAGGCTGTCGTCTTTCCTCCTGTGCGATGCTTGGCCCCTTTGTCACAGACAAGGAGGCTGAGTGTGTTTGGAGTTGTGTCTGCATCTTCTAGTCTGTCCCACTGACCCCTGAGTCTTTTTCTGCCAGTACCATTTCATTTTAATCACAGTGGCTTTGTAGCATAATTTCAAGCCAGGGATTGTGATGCCTCCTGCCTTGCCTTTGTTGTCTGGCACTCAGTATGCATGCTTTTTCTATTCTAGGTCTCTTCCAATTTCAAATGAATATTATTATTATTATTATTATTATTAGTGTGTGTGTGTGTGTGTGTGTGTGTGTGTGTGTGTGTGTGTACTGGGAATTGAACTCAGGACCTTGTGCTTGCCAGGCAGGCCCTTAAGCCACTGAGCTATCTTCCCAGCCCCTAGAATTATTTTCTCTATTTCTGTAAGGTATACTATTGGTATTTTGATCAGGATTACATGAAATCTGTATAACAATTTGCAAAGCATGGCCCCTTTTTAAAAAAATTTTCAAGTAGTGATTTTTATGCTGATTGATTAAAAAAAAAAGTAAAACCAACCTAAGTGTCCAAGAATAAGGAATTTGGGTTGGGATGGGGAGCTAACTGCTGAACCACAGTGCTATTATAGAGCCTCTCTCCCAGACCCCACTCTATTCAATAATCATTTCTGAATAATAAAATACAGAAAATCAAAAATATATATATTAAGAATCTACTCTCAATGACTCAGTCTTTTCCATGTAGATACATACAAATATTTTCTTTTTCTTTTATACAAATATTTTCTTTTTCTTTTTTTCACTTTTTGTAGTACTGGGGATTAAATTTAGGTCCTTCGTATGGAACTATATCCTTGGCTGTATTTGATTGATTGTGAGACCCTACACAGCTTAGACTCATAGAGATCCTACTGTCTCAGCCTTCCCAGCACTGAGATTATAGGTGTGTGCCTCCATGCCTGATTTCAGGGTGGCACCATGCCCAATTTCAGGCTGACATGGTGCAGCCGAGATTCCAGGGCCTGCACAGCATGCAGTACCTGCTTTGAACCGGGGTCCTTGTGCTTTCCAGGCAGGTGCTTAGACTTCTAAGCTATCTCCCCAGCCCCTTGACCCTTTTTAAAGACAGAATTTTACTAAGTTGCCCAGGCTGGGCTCGAACTTGTGATCCTCCTGCCTTAGCCTCCCAGAAGCTGGGATTAAAGGCATGTGCCACCATGCCTGGCCCAATATGTATCTTTTTTTTAAAGATTCTCTCTGCTATTTTGAGCTCTGCTGTACTTAATTTTTACATCTAGTGCCAGGTGTGGTAGTACGTGCCTGCCTGTAATCCCAGCACTCAAGAGGCTGAGACAGGAGGATTGTTGTGAGTTCAAGACCAGCCTGGGCTACACAGTGAGCTCAAGGCCAGCCTGAACTGCATAGTGAGATCCTGTCTCAAAAAAACCAAAAAGGGCTGGTGAGATGGCTCAGTGGCCTAAAGCACCTACTTAGAACAAGTTTAGCAAAGCACAGAGACCACGGTTCAATCCCCCAGCACCACATGCCAGCCAGCCTCGCCCCCTGGTGGGCTGAGCTGGCCACACACACACACACACACACACACAAAAATTAAAAAAAAAAAAAAAGACCAAACAAAAAAGGCATTGGTTCCACTTCCTCTTCCTTTCTGTTATATAAGTACCACGCGATGACCGATTGCGCCACTGGAGCTTCTCCTCTTTCTGCAGCTCAGCGAATCTTTCTCCAAACTGTCACACCACCTGCCCACTTGTCACCTCCTCAATGAGGCCTTCCTTTCCTTCTCTCTGTCTTCATTCTCTATCCTTCTGCCTGCTTCTAGCATGTTTTTTTCACCTGTGCATCGGACTGTCTCTCCTAAGAGAACAGAAGCTTGAAGCGCACAAGGGCTTTGCCTTGTCACTCTTGCACAGGGCCTGGCCTGCAGCCGGCACTCAGTAAACACTGCTGAAGAAATGGAAGTGTGGCTGGGTATGGTGGCACGCGCCTGTAATCCCAGCATTCAAGAGGCTGCAGCAGCAGGATCACAATGAGTTTGAGGCCAGCTTGGGCTACACAGTGAGTTCAACGCCAGGCTGAAATACATAACAAGACCTGGTCTAAGAAAAAGTAGACATAAAGACACATGAAGAATGGCAGAGCCACTCCACAGTGTGCCCGAATGGCCAATCCAGGCAAGTGCACAGGCGCACAGGTACATAAAACAGGTAGAGCCTGGAGTTAACTGTGTGCCATAGTACCATGGAAACCTGCTTATTGTGGGCCAAACCACAAACAAAACAGTTCAGGGAGAGTCTGCCCCTCCTCCCTTCTCCCCTCTTTTACACACACACATACACACACACATGCAGAGCATCAGGCAGAGATTTAGTATCTGAGCCCCCAACTCTTTAATTATCCAAGATGCTTTCCCATTTTCTCATTTTTTGCTTTGTGCTGTGTTATATTGCTTCAAATTTTTTACTTTTTCTCAGGCCTGTTTGCAGTCCATAAGGATCACACAGGTGCAGAGCTGGCTATGTAGGCGACATGCCTTCCAGACATCTCTGCCCTATCTCTTGGTTCCCTTCCCATTTGCAACCCATCTACCTCCCTGTTCCCTGCCCCCTGCTCTTTGCCTCCCTGTGCCTGCTGACTAGGCACTGGCTGCCCCTCCCTCTTCCCCACCCAGCCTGAATCTTCCATGCTGCCAGGATTGGTTATAGCATTTGTAGGGCCCACGGTAAAAATGAAATTCAGACCATCTTGTTCGAAAAGCAAGAAGAGTATAGTGAAGATCCTAAAAGGGTGATACAATTAGGGACGTGAGGGGGAGGAAAATATGAGTCTGAGCTCAACCTGGGCATCCTGGCAAGTCCTTGTCTCAAAATAAAAACTAGAAATGGACTGGGGATGCAGCTCTGTGTGAAGGCCCTGTATTCAACTCCCAGTAGCAAAGGAAAACAAAATTCGATGCACTGGCCAAGACCTGCTGAAAGGGAGACTTAGGGGATGCGGCCCAGGATCCCCTCTTTGCCTGGTCCTGAACCACAGTGAGGTAGCTAGGCTCTGCCACTGGCCCTCCTGCAGTTCGTCCAAGCCACTCCTTGGGGCGCGTGGCACTGGTTAGATGTCTCTTTATGAGAATTCCCGATCCAGGTTTCCCCTGCCAGGGCACAGCTCTGGCGTCTGTCTCCTTCTCCAGCACGTCCAACATGCCAGCAGGTGTGGCGCAGGCGTGCAGCTGGCCTTGCTGGAAGTCTCAGGAGTGTGGAGGCAGGGCCCTGGGCGACTGGGCTGGGGCTGACGGCATCCTCGCCCTCCAGGTACAGCCTGTACACCCGCACCTGGCTAGGATACCTCTTCTACCGGCAGCAGCTGCGCAGGGCTCGGAATCGCTACCCCAAAGGCCACTCCAAAACCCAGCCCCGCCTCTTCAATGGTGAGTTCTGGCGGGGGCCTCACAACCTCCTGCCCACCCCTGCCCCACCCTGGGCTCCACCCCTCGCCCCTGCCGCAGCGCGCCGCTGTCTCTGCCTCTGTCCCCAGGCGTGAAGGTGCTTCCCATCCCGGTCCTCTCCGACAACTACAGCTACCTCATCATCGACACCCAGGCCCGGCTGGCTGTGGTTGTGGACCCTTCAGACCCCCGCGCTGTGCAGGTGAGTGGAGGGGAGGGGGTCTGTGAGGGGGAGTGGGATGGTCACCTTTGCCACAGGAGATAACGGAAGGGTGACCTGGGTCTCTCTGCCCATGGCCTCCGCCCTCTCCAAGTCACGCACGCAGGACATATGCAGACCTCTTGAATATAGTTATGGGGGAGGGTGTGTGTCCTGGGCGCAGCAGGAAGCAGGGAAGCAAGACTGGGGGCAGAGCCAGGGGGCCAGGTGCTGGCCAGGACTGTGATTTGAATCCGTTTCCAGGCTACCTCTTGACCTACACCAAATTGGACCCTCTTGCTTCTCTGAACTGTCAGTTCCCAGGCCTCTGCCCTGTCCTGTGTGCATATGCCCCTGTTAATCCCACCTCTTGTCCCAGTGCTTCACTCCCCAGCTCCTCTTCCTGCTCCCCTCCACCCACGCCCTGCCCTCTGTGCACCTCTGCAGCCATCTGCCTAGCTCCTGTCTCTCCCGCAGGCTTCCATTGAGAAGGAGGGAGTCACCTTGGTTGCCATTCTCTGCACCCACAAGCACTGGTAAGAGCTGGCATGGGGGTGTCTGGGGGAGGAGACAATCTTCATGCTGAGTTCTCCTGGCAGGGGGCAGTGCCAGAACTGAGCCAAGAGAGGACCACCCAAGCTGGGGGCATCAGGAAGGCAGGATGGGTAGGGACCCAACCTTCCACCTGAAGTCCCCATGGCACAGCAGCAGAGGCAGGGGGAGGGCCAGTTACCTGGCTTCTGAAGCCCTGAGGAGGAGGACAGGCTGCCGTGGATGCTGCTGTGCTCTGGGCGTGGACAAGCCTCGTGACCTCTCCCACCCAGTCTGCTAGGTCAGATGGCCCTGCACCAAAGGTTCTAAGTTACATTTAAGTGGCAGCTGGCACAAGGTACAGGGGATAGGGGATATGCCACATGGAGTTTCAAGGATGGTGACTGAAAATGAGTCCACAAAGATGTCAAGTAGAGGTTGTTGGGGTGGGGGTAGCTAGCAGTGGGAGTGACATTCTGGGCAGGGAACAGCCTGAACTCAGGCTGGAGGTGCTGTGACGAGAGGGAGTGTGAGCTGCAGTTGCCTCTTACCTGTGAGGGCCCCTGCCTGCCTCTGCTGTTCTGCAGGGACCACAGTGGAGGGAACCGAGACCTCAGCAGGCGACACCGGGACTGTCGGGTGTATGGGAGCCCGCAAGATGGCATCCCCTACCTCACCCAGTAAGTCACTGCCCAGGGATGGGGCGGCCTTCAGTTAAGTATTTCGGGGGCACCAACAGCCAGGTCTTTGCTGACACCTTTCCTGGCCCTAAGAGAGCCAGTACAAGCCCACATGAAGGGGAGGGCTTGGATCCAAGACCGGGGGCAGGGTTCATTCTCCCTGGCATGGGAACCCACTCTCCTGAGAGTCACCTACCTCTTGGGCCTTGGGTGGGTGCAGAGATCAGCTGTTACTTTGCCCTCAGCCCCCTGTGTCATCAAGATGTGGTTAGTGTGGGACGACTCCAGATCCGGGCCCTGGCCACCCCAGGCCACACGCAAGGCCACCTGGTCTACCTGTTGGATGGGGAGCCCTACAAGGGTCCCTCTTGCCTCTTCTCAGGGGACCTGCTCTTCCTCTCTGGCTGTGGTGAGTTTCCCCAAAAGAGAGGAGTGGGGGAGGAGGGATAGACCGGGTCTAAGGCAGCTATAGTCCCATAACACATGAAAGCTCAAGTTTCGGCACACATGTCACCTCGGCACACAACCCTCACCTGTGTCCCTAAGACTTCCCACCAAATGGATGGATTCAGCAGGTTCTATAACTGAGCAGAGACAGGATAGGGTGGAGGCCTTGTTTTCTCTGAGTGGTGCCTGCTCCCATGCAGTGAGTGGTACAACCAAGTATAGAAAGCTGAGGCTGCTCCATGAGAAAGAGATCACATGGATGAAGAAAGATCCTGAGCCCCAGAGGACACCCAGATGGAGGCGCTGCATGGAAAAGAGCAGCCCTCCACCCCGGAGCTGGGCCACTGGAGCTCAGCCTGCAGCCCCACAGCCCTTCTCCGTGCAGACCCTCACATGTCTAACTTGTTGAGGGTGACTGAGTGGACTCAGCTCTCAGAGCAAAGGAGGGGGTAGAGCCAGGGATGGACAGGCAGGGCCACAGGTGAGGGCTGGGGGCTGGCCAGAGCCACCGGAGCCGGTCTCCACCCTTCTGTGTGTGTGTTATGTCATCCTGAGTCATCCTTGTAACCCTCACCCAGGACGGACCTTTGAGGGCACTGCAGAGACCATGCTGAGCTCACTGGACACTGTGCTGGGGCTGGGGGATGATACTCTGCTGTGGCCTGGTGAGGCGCCCTTCTCCCTTCTCCCCAGGCCCATTCTCCACCTAGCACCCAGGCTCTCCCAGGCCTTCACCTCCCGAGAGACTAGGCCAACCCAGGTCTAGGGTCAGCATGGGCTCTGGCCCCGCTTCTGCAGAGCACAGTGCTGGCTTCAGGATCCTCAGCTTCTCATGCCACTGTCTCTGCCAGCCAGGGGGAGCCTCGTGGGGGCCCTGCATGACCCAGAGCATCCTGGAGAGATGTCTGGCATGTTCACAGCCATAGCCCAGGACAGAAAGTAGTTTTGTAGGAACCCATGTATCTACTGCCTTGTAGTTACTTTTTAAAAGCAGAAAGGATTTGTTGCTATTTTTGTGGTCCTGGGGATCGAACCCAGGGCCTTATGAATGCCAGGCAAGCACAGTACTGCTGAGCCATACCCTAGCCCCATACCTTACAGTTTCTAAAGTAGCACAAATACTTGAGGTGATCCTTGGAACATATATTCATTCATTCACCAGACACTTTACGTGCACTTAACAGGTACCAGGCTCTCTTCTAGGCCCTGAGAACACAGCAGTGACTATGCCCAAATGCCCTACTATTTCTCCACTTGCCAAATTAGAAAACTGGTTCAGAGGTGCCAGGATTTGACAAAGTCAAGCCTAGCTCAGTGGCCTCCTGGGTCCAGACCCAGGGGTTCCCGCAGCACCTCTGCCACCTTGCCTCTGGCTGCCCTGTGCCACAGCTAGAGAAGCAGCTCTGGGCAGCTGGTTTTTCCTGGGAGTGGGTGTCCCTGGTCCTGGGCTGGGAGGTGGGGAGAACTTTCCCTGACTGTTCACTGATCTATCTCCACCCCACCTCGCTGCCCTAGGCCATGAGTACGCAGAGGAGAACCTGGGCTTTGCAGGTGTGGTGGAGCCTGAGAACCTGGCCCGCGAGAGGAAGATGCAGTGGGTGCAGAGGCAGCGGATGGAGCGCAAGAGCACGGTGCGGGCCTGGGGGCCTGGGGACATGCGGGCTGCCTGCCCAGCCTGAGCCACCTCTGCCCTGCTAGGCCTGGATTACCTCCCAGAGCTCGATCTGCTCACCTCTGCATGCCCAGAGGGAGAGTGGGGCGGGGGCCAGGAAGGCTTCCCTGTGTTGGGCCCCTTCTCCAGCTGCTGCCCACCCAGCCTGATGCCTTTCCCTGCAGTGCCCATCCACCCTTGGAGAGGAGCGTGCCTACAACCCATTCCTGAGGACCCACTGCCTGGCGCTGCAGGAGGCTCTGGGGCCAGGCCCAGGCCCCACAGGGGATGATGGCTGCTCCCGTGCCCAGCTCTTGGAGGAGCTCCGCCGGCTCAAGGACACACACAAGAGCAAGTGAAGCCCCTAGCCCAGCCCAGCCTGCCCCCATGGTGGGAAGCGCCCACCGCCACACCTCACATCCTTATCACAGCCATCTCCTCCATCCATGTGTCATGTACCCATCCTCATCAGGGGGAGGGGTGGGACCAGGCAGTGAGACTGGGGAAGGGACCAATGGCTTGGAGGCCCCACAAAGCGAGGCTGGGTCATCCAAGGGAAAGGGAAAGGATGGGCATCTGGACATCTGCATACTGCTAACTTCGAGGGTCCCCTCTTCCCTTCTCCCACTTCGGACAGCTGCACAAACACAGAAGCTGCTATGAGCTCCCCACCTGGGAGCCCTCACTCTCGCTGTAACCCTGACACCAGGGCAGCAGGAGCCATGCCAAGTTGAATCCATTTTCCACCATCTCCATCCACAGTTAAGGCCTCCAGTGTGGTGCCTTGGGAAAGCAGTGACCGGCAGGGGTGGCCGGGCAGGTGACTGGGACTCTGCCCCTCCACCCAGCCTCCTGGCCCACCCTGCCCTGACAAGGCATTTCCAGACAGAGCCATTCCTAGGACCCCAAAAGGCTGGAAATCGCCACCAGCCTCTGCCTCAGAGGCTCCCTGCAGCCTACAGGGAGGCATGTCCTGGTTGCCAAGAGAACCTCTGCCTCCCCTGAAGCCCAGACACTGGGGTCTGGACCCTGGAAGGGGTCAAGGCACCTGTTCACCCCACACATCTGGCCTGAACCTGCCCCCAGGCCTCTGCTCCTGCCCTGGGCCACAAGGGCCTTCTTCGCAGGGGAGAGAGGACCGTGGCCAGGACTGATGCACTTTCTTCACTTGGGCCCTTGTACTTAGGAATTTCTGCCTGTCTTTCGTCTTACTTAATTCCTCTTGTTTTATCCTTGACCTCTTTCCTCTTTGAGTTAGCAATTCATTTTTCAGCCCAGGCTTTCAACTGGCCCTTCACAGTTTCCCAAGAGCACTCATTCCTGTGCAAGTCCCCATTGCATCCTTGGCCCCGTCCTCACTGAAGGGAGGAGGCTCTGTGCAGCAGGCTGGACCTGGCCCTCTGCTCACCCCTCCTCCAGCCCTGCTTCTCTGGTCTCAGGTCCAGGTCCCTTTGGGATCCTCAGGCAGGCGCCCATGGGCCAGCCAGAGCCTCTCATCCGGTGTCAAAGCCTTCCTAGATGCCCTGTCCTCCGCTTCCCTCCTCATCTGGCCTCTGCAGCTCCCACCCTGGAGCTCACTCTAGCAATACCACCAGACTAGTTAGCCTTCCCGCGGAGACATGCAAACTTGCCTCTGTGCCTTTGCTCCCGCTGCTCCTCAGGCCGGAATGCCTTTAGCTCCAGCGCCTGGTCTGCCTGGCAAACACCTGCCCGTTCACTCCCCCAGGCCCCTCCCTAGGAAGGCGCCCTGCCTCTCCCCTCCAGGCTACCTCTGCACTTTGTAAATGCTTCTCTCTCTGGCACTTATCACATATATTTTACTTGTTTACATGTTTGTCTCCCCTTCTAGACTGTGAATCCTTAAGGGCATGGACTGTCGTACGCATCTCTGTATCTCTGCGCCTAGCACGGTGCCTGGCACATAGTAGGCGCTCAATAAATGTTGAATGAATGAATGATTTAACCACAGTCTGATCACTCATGGCTTGTCGTTCCTGCTGCAGAAGTACGAACATCCAAGACCCCATGCACTGCTTCCCTGCCTTGGTTCCAGCTCCCTTAGCTTGGAGGTACTTGCACTTTAAGAGCCTTGGTTAGAAACGCCCCAAACACATTCCTCCTGCAGCCCTGTGCGTCTGTTCAGGGTTTACAACTTGCTTTCTTCAGTGTTTTCCAAAGCAAGCAGAGCCTCACAGGTGCCCCGCTGTCTGTGGGGTGAGGGCAGCTGTGCATGGTCACAGCCCAGCATGGGTGATGCTTCAAGGGCATGGCCTTGGCTCTTGCCCTTTTTTTGACGCCCCTGTAAAAAGAACAAGCCAGTTCCAGGTCCTGTCTCTAGTTTGATAGTACTATTCCGTTATTATTGTATCGGTCTTGGGGACCGATGTTTATATTTGACAATACCTTTTAATTAATGAAAATGAAGGCATGTTGGACTGAGGAAATACGACCTAAAGATCCCACTTGGCTCTGGCAGAGCCCCTGAGGCTGGCCCCGTGTGGCTGGAGAGCAGGATGTACTAGCGTGGTGCCCTACTTCCTTGGGCCCAGGCCCTAGTTCAGCTCCTCCAAGTTTGCCCCAAGCCTAGGCCGGGGACCGTGGCACTGGCCTCTTGGGTCTAAATCAGGGCTGTACCTGGCCTGGTTGGGGCAGACTATGGTCTGTACCTTCCAAGGAAGCGGGCTTTTGAGTGCTCTGCGCTGTGGCTAGGTCAAGGCTGTTGTAGGTAGATGAGCCCCAAGACCAGGCCCTGACTTGTGAGGGTCCCCTTGGGTGTGTTCAGCTTCAAGGAGCACTTGGTGGCAGTTCTTTGGGCTGGTGAGGCACCTTCCTGGGACCTCCCAACCACCTGTCCAGCATCAGCAAGAGCATGTGCCCCTCCAGTGTGCACACTGCCCAGTAATGAGCAGACCACGCAGTTCTGCTTGCAGGACGGCAAGTGTTCCAGCCTTGGCAGCCTGTGGATTAGTCTAACTTCTTTCACCCAACATCTGGGTGACCTTGAGCGAGTCACTTCCCTGTCCTTTTTTACTGTCCAGTGGAGAAGAAAACAATGAGTCAGAATCCTTATGGGTATAAGCAACAAACACAACACAAAGTATTAAGCCAAAATGAAAGCCTGTGAGCTGGAAAGCCTGGCTGCTCACACAGACCACCGTGAGACCGAGAGGCCTAAAGTTATGATGTGCCTTCAGGCACGGATGGATCTGGGGACTTAAAGGCTACCTTCATTCCTCTCTGCTCTCTTCTGTGTTGGTACCTTTCTCTGTCAGGCTTCTCTCTGTAGTGGAAAGATGTACTTTCAGGCTACTAGTGGAAAGATGTACTTTCAGCTATTAGAGGTTCTGCTAGGTTTGAAGAACCTAGCAGAACCTCTAATAGCTCTAGGAGTGAATTTCATTGATCTAGCTTATGCCCGACCCTAAACCAGTCATAGGAGTTAAGGGAATGGGCTCCTTAGACTGGCCGGGCTGGCTCATATGACCCCACCCGGAAGGGCTCTTAGCAATCCCAAATGAAACATCCTGTACTAAAAGTTGGGACAAGGGGTCACCAAAGGTATGGGGCCTGCTATGAAAAAGGATGCAAGACAGCAAAATCAGAAGCTCTTAGGAGGGCCAGATGGGAAAAGCCACTTTGAAAAATGCTACATCCTATTTCTGGCACTATGATTAATTATAGAGAAAAAATGGAGATGAACACGTGGCCTCAAAGGTGTGTATTATACATGCCCTGAAAATAACCACCATGCAGCTCATCTTTGCATTTTTTCTTGCCCTGGATCACAGGCTGTTGGTCTTTGAGGGTAGCAAAGGAGAAGAGAGGAGGTTAAGTAGGCAGCCTTAAGCATTCCAGGGCTTTCCTCGCTGGTAGCACGCCTGCAAGCATGGTGAAATTTCCCAAAACCCGGTGACCTTTCTGTAAGAAGTGTGGCATGCGTCAACCTCACAAAGTGACACAGTACAAGAAAGGCAAGGATTCCCTATATGCCTGGGGAAAGCAGCTCTATGACAGGAAACAGAGTGGCTAGGGTGGACAGACTAAGCTGATTTTCCAGAAGAAGGCCAAAACTACAAAGAAGATTGTGGTGAGGCTTGAGTGTGTTGAGCCCATTTGCAGATCTAAGAGAACGCTGGCTAGTAAGAGATGTAAGCATTTGGAACTGGGAGGAGATAAGAAAGGGCAACATGATACAGTCTTAACTTTTCATGTTTTGTTTTATTGTGAGGACAATAAAATCTTGCTGTGTTACAAAAAGACAAAAAAAAAAAAAAAAAAAAAAAGCATTCCAGGGAAGAACAGAGCAGAGCAGTTGTAGAAATAAACATGGATGCCCAGAGTGTGCCTGTGTATGTGAGCGTGTGTGTGCTGCGGTGCCCTTGGTCTCCAAATCCCTGCCCACAGAGCGAGCCTTTTTGTCTGTTTATTCTGCAGTACTGGGGACTGAATTCAGGGCATTCACACTGAGCTAACGTCCCCCCAAGCTCTTTTTTTTTTTTTTTTTTTTTTGTGGAACTGGGGATTGAACTCAGACCCTTGCGTTTGCCAGTCAAGCACTTATCCTACTGAGCCATCTCCCCGGCCCCTCCCCAAGCTCTTTTATTTTATTTTTATTTTTCTGTATTTAGTACAGGGTCTATAGGGTCTCACTACATAGATCAGACTTGTAGTGATTCTCCTGTTTTCAGCCTCTGGGATTACAGGCCTACGCCACCACACCCAGTCTCAATCGCCTTCTCACCACGCGGGGAGGGGGGGGGGCGGTCTCTGCACCACATGCTGGGGATCAAAACCCAGGCACTGCTCAGCTCTGCCTAAGCAGGCACTTTAGTCTGCTGAGCTACCAGGCCAGCCCTCTTTTATTTTTGAGAGCACAAAATTGCCCAGATAAGACCCAAATTTGGCAATCCTCCTGCCTTAGCCTCCCTCCATGTGGGGATTACAAGTGTACACCACCATGCCCAGCTCAGATGGCTCCTTTAAAAGCAGGTGGGAACCTGAGTCTCACGGCTCGAGAGACTCAGACGAAAGGCAGGACCAAGGAGTAGGAGAGAGGACAGGACAAGCTACAAAGGTTGGCTTTGCCTCTGAATGGCCACAGGTAACTCTGGACAGTGGCTGCGTCATGGAGCCTCAATGTAGAGTAGTCACGACTCAAGGAGATCAAACCAGTCAAATAGCTCAGCAGATTAAAGCGCTTGCAAGCAGGCTCAGGAGACAGGGGTTTGATACACGGGGCTGCCCTGCTGGCCCCGCCCCCAGAGCACACTGCGATGGCAATTGAGACTGGGTGTGGTGGCATGCTCCTGTAATCCCAGCTCTTGGGAGGCTGTACACAGGCGGGTCACTATGATCTCACTAGTAGTGAGACCTTGAACACTCTGTAGACCCTGCCCTAAAAAATACAACAACAACAAAAGGAGAGAGAAAGAAAGAAAGAAAGAAAGAAAGAAAGAAAGAAAGAAAGAAAGAAAGAAAGAAAGAAAGAAAGAAAAGGAGATCAATGTACAGTGCTCTCCTTCCAGAGAGAGCAGCCCCTCGCTCCCTGACAGTCATCAATAAACACGGGGCTAGGTTACTTGGGCAGCAGAACGCAATGTTTTAAGAACAAGGGCTCAAAGCACAGGTGGTACTGACCTATCATTCCAGCACTCTAGGAGGCTGAGGCTGGAGGATCACAAATTTGAGCCCACCTTTCTGTAATTTAGTGACTTAAACCCTGTCACAAACTTTCAAAACATAATTTTTATTTTATTTATTTGTATTTTAGGGAATGGTCTACAGGGGTTCAGGGTCTCACTACTGGATGAGATTTGTAATGATTCGCCTGTCTACAGCCTCCCAAGAGCTGGGATTACAGGCACACGCCACCATGCCCAGTTTCTGTTTGCGGTTTTCAGCTGGATAGTGACCTTTTTTCACAAACATGTTTGACTTTTACTGATTGGCGGTAGATTTTGTAGCATCTGTCTTAAAGAATTATTTGAAGGAAAATTTTTTTTTCTTTTTTTTTTTTCTTTTTGACAGAACCAGAGATTGAACTCAGGCCCTTGCTCTTGCCAGGGAAGCGCTTATTCTACTGAGCCATCTCCCTGGCCCACGCCCAGTCTCAATTGCAGTCTCAGTGCACCCCAGGGATCGATCAAACCCCCAACCCCTGTGCCTGCTTGCAGGCGCTTTAATTCACTGAAATATTTGGCTGGACCAAAACATAATTTTTAAAACAATTTTTTGAGACAGGGTCTCTCTCTGTAGTCCAAGCTGGTCTCAAACTCACTATGTAGCCCAGGCTGGCCTTGACCTCTCAGTGACCCTTCTGCTCAGCCTCCAGAGTGCTGGGATTATGGCATGTGCCATCATAACTAATTAAAAAAAAAAATGTGTGGGTTGTGGATTTATCTCAGTAAGAAGGTTCTGGGTTTCATTCCAGAGGTGGGGGTTGGGTGGCATGGTACACAGCTGTAATCTGAGCTACTTAGAAGCCTGAGGCAAAGCACTAGAAACTTTTACTTTTTTTTTTTTTTTTTTTTTTTTGCGAACCAGGGCTTGAACTCAGGCCCTTGTACTTGCCAGGCAAGCTCTTATTCTACAGAGCTATCTCCCCAGCCCCCGCTAGCAACTTTTGAGGCTGCAATTTATTTTTATTTTTTTTTCAATTATTTATTTATTTGTGTGTGTGTGTGTGTGTGTGTGTGTGTGTGTTTGTGGCCAGCTCAGCCCACCAGGGGGCAGGGCTGCTGGCATGTGGTGCTGGGGGATTGAACCGCGGTCCCCATGCCTTGCTAAGCTTGTTCTAAGTAGGTGCTCTAGACCACTGAGCCATCTCACCAGCCCCTTGAGGCTGCCATTTAATGGACCAGCAAGACCCCATTTGAAAACCCAAAGGGCTGGGAGTGTAGCTCCATGATAGAGAGCTTGCCCAGCATTCAGGAACCCCTGGGTTTGATCCCCAGCCCTGGCCTG